AGGGAGGGAGGGAGGGAGGGAGGGAGGAGATTAACAAGCTCGATAGGCTAAAGAGTTTTGACTTTTCATCTGCTAAATGTTGGGAAATATTTAACCAAGAGCCAATCATGTTTGAATTTTAGGTAACTTTCTAAGCAATTTGGACCAGGAAGTTAAGAGAGAAAATAATAGTGTCGATATGAAATGATGAAGGTTTGGACTAGAGTTGTAGTGACCAGGAGATTAGAGTTGAAGATGGTTGTGTTCTAGGTTTTACCACTAACGTTAGTTGTGCAGACTGAGAGAGGGATTTCCAGACAGCTGAAGCATCTAACAAAGGAATACAGCAGGCTTCGTAAAAAACAAACAAAATAATGAATGAATAAATGAAAATAAGAAAAATTATGTGTTTTACACATTATTTTAAAACAGTGAGATTTCTGGGAAGTAAAGCGTTTGGATGTAATGGCAAGTCAGACTCTCAGCAGTAGAGAAGACTGAAGTCCCTGGGCTGGCGGAGATTCTGATCTCATACTGGAGATGGAGGCTTTGGGAATGCTAAACCAGAGTGGACTTGGTTACTATAATCCTAGCACTTAAAAGGCTGTGGCAGGAGGATTGCTGAGTTCAAGGACAGCTTAGGTTATATAGGGAGTTTTTGACCAGTCTGAGCTATGAAATGAGATCCCATCTCAAAACAAAAAGATAAAAATAGGTCTCAGAAACCATGAGGAAGAGGTATCTTAGCTGCTGAGCCATTTCTTCAGCCTTGCAAGGAGTCAGCTTCTGAGCCACAGGAGGAAAATATCCCATGAAGGCCATAATAAAGCCCGGGGTTAACTACAACAGAGAGGTGAAGAGAATTAGAGTGTCCTCCTAGTGAGGAAATCCCATCCCAAAAGCTGCATTCTGTGTGACTTCATTTATATAGTCCATTTGATATGGCAAAATTATATAAATAAGCAAGTTAGTGGTTGTTAGATGATTGGGGATAGATGTAGGGATTGACAAGCCAAGTGAGGAAAGTAGGTGTGGCTATGAAGGGGCTGTATGAAGGACCTCTTAGTGATGGACTGTTATGTGCCTTGGCTGTACTAGTGTCCATATCCTGGCTATGATGCTGTATCATGGTTTTTTCCTGTAGTGAGAAAGACTGGTAGAGGTATGTAGGGAGGCCCTTGTGCATTATTTCTTAGAATTGCATGTGAATCTGTATTTTTACCTCAAAATAAGCATGTGAGTTTATATCTCAAAACATTTACTACACGAGTCTTCTACATTTCAAGCATGCCAGTTATCCACTGTTTAAATCATCCTTTAATGTGCATTCCTTTGCCAGTAAGCTGTTCTTTTGCATTTGAAGTGGTTCTCAAAGATGATGGAGGGGTACTAGACAGGGAAAGCAAAAATAGAGTAATCCTCTAGTACTGATAGCAGGTGAGTGACAGGTTATTTGCTGCCTTTACAGAGTTAGCATGTACTTCAGGAGACGGTGTGTCAGCCAGTCACACTTTCTTGCTTCACATCTTTGATTTTAGGAGTGGCCTTTGAGCAGGGAAAAATCCTTCCCACTCCAGAAACAGTTCCTTTTAGACTCAGCAGAGACATCGTGGATGGCATGGGCATCACTGGTGTGGAAGGTGTCTTCAGAAGGTAAGGGAGGAAGGCAGACAATTTTTGCTATCAAGTTTATTATTCAGCTAATAAATTTATATGATGATGGGATTCAGTGGTAGAATGACATCCCGGTACTTAGTACTAAGGAAATGACCATTGGTATGGGCAGTAATCGTTCTTTCCAGCCACCCGGGGCTTACTTCAGCACGGCACATGTTGTCACATCTGACCTCCTCTGGAAGAGGCCCACTTTGACTGTTACTCAACCTGAGCTGACGTGCTCTGTTTTTACTGTTTTGTTGGTGCTCATTGTTGGGGGTATTAAAGAGATAGTAGTTTTTTGTTTTTATTTTTATTCTTATACAATACATCCTGACTTCAGTTCCCCCTCCCTCTACTCCTCTCAGACACACCCCACCTCCCCTGTCTCCCAGATCCACTCTCCCTCCATTTCCTTTCATAAAAGATCAAGGATACCAACCAAACATGGCATAACAAGACGCGATAAGACTGGCCACAAACCCTCATATTAGGGCTGGGCGAGGCAACCCAGTAGAAAGGAAGCGGTTCCAAGAGCAGGCAAAAGAGTCAGAAACACCAAGCTAACAGCCATAATATATATGCAGAAGACCTATCTCAGACCCACGTAGACTCCTTGATTGCCGCTTCAGTCTCTGAGCTCCTGTGAGTCCCTTGTTTGTTGATTCTGTTGGTCCTCAACCCCTCTGGCTCCTATAGTTCTTCCTCTGCCTCTTCAGTGGGGGTCCTTGAGCTCCAAGGGGAGGGACCTCATAGAGATCTCCAAATTGGGCTCAAGATAGTTCTGTCTGGAAAGAACCATGTTCCAGTATAGTTCAAAGCCAAAGATTTTTTTTATAGTTTTCTCAGTAAAGGTCTATAATCTCAGATTGTAAAAGTAAATTAATACTTGCCTCAGTAATCAAGACAAAGTATTTCATAGCAGTAGTGTTTTTTTTTTAAATAAGTGCTGAGCTTATAAAATACACACCACGTATTTGTATTTATATTAAGTTCTGGAACATCTCTTAAATGCTGCCTTTGCCAACTGGTCTGCTCTTTGAAATAAAATTTTGGGAATTGCTAACAAGGATCATCTAAGTATGCATGCATAAGTGCATATAGGCAAAGATGACTGAAATATTGGTGTGCTATAGAATTCATGTTTGTAATGTGTTTCACCTTGCAGATGCTGTGAGAAAACCATGGAAGTTATGCGCAGTTCTCAGGAAACTCTGCTAACCATTGTAGAAGTAAGACATCTGGATTCCTTTACTGGTCAGCCTGCCTTGTTAGGAAGTCACTCATTTGAAGAGCATTGTTCATTTCATGTAGACTGGTGCTGGGCAGCAGCAGAAAGGGACACAGTGGACATTTTCTTACATCACAATGTTTGGGGTTAGAAACGTGTCTTGGGATATTATAGCATTTTTAAGTAATCTCCAATTTCTAATAAATAAATGAGCACTTTGACATCCTAGACATCCCACTTCGGCCTGTTGCTGTTGTGCTTGCCACACAAGCATGAGGGCCTGAGTCGGTATCCCTAGAAGCCATATAAAAACCTAGCATAGTAGTGCATGTTTATAATCCTAGCACTGAGGAAGCGGGGATGGGGGGAGATATTTGGGACTCATGGACAGCTAGTATAGCCAAATTGGTGAGTTTACCGATTTGGTGATAGGCACTGTCTCCAAAAAAAAATGAATAGAAAAATGATTGAAGAAAACACCTGACAACCTCTGGTCCCATCACACCCACACATGTGTGTACATATACATACCAGTGTAGCTGTATGTATCCCATATGAGATTGTTTTGAGATTGGTTTCCATGAAGTCAATAATATATGTCATTTTCCCTTGAAATTTCAGAGCTAATTTAGTTGCAAATCAGAATACCAACATTGTTAGTGATATAACTGAAGAATGAGGTTTGCTGTTGAGGCTCTTGCAGTTCTTGTTTGCTATGTAGCTTTGAGACAGTTCATCTGAATGGAGCTGTGTCCTGCGAACATGTGTTTAAATCAGGTTTATCATCTCATGTAGACCCAGGGCAGAGAGGGAAAAAAGTCATACTTCCAGTGCTTATGACATTAATTCTACCAAGTGAGAATTGTGTGCATCTGGCAGTCATTACAAAGCTGGTAAGGATGTGTGAGACAAGAACTTAGCTATTTCCTACAGAGAGAAATAAAGGAAGTTGAGTACAGGCCCGACTGCACACAGGTATCACCTATTCTGCTTCTAAAGAGTAATGTTAACTGAGTTTGAACCAGATTTTTAGGGACGAAGAAGTAGGAGCGTGTGTGTTTTGTAAATCCCTCCTGTGCAGGCAGGGTTGAGAGTCATTTGTATTTCACTGGCACTATTGAGATTCATAGTAAGGGTGGAGCTGTGTCCTTTAGAAGATTCAATTAGCAGTTTGCCATGCTGGTCTGAGTGAGAGTATTGCATCTGAGAAATGATTTCTGTTCCCACTTACAATACCTGTATCACTTTAGAACAAACCCACCCTTCACAGTAACACAAAGTTCTATTGTTGCCCCTGGTAAATCAGTCCAAATTTCTGAGAGTCATTTGCCGTGGTTTTCCTAATATTAAGGAACAGTTTCTCTTTCATCACTGCTGTCTCCTGCTCTAGGGCAGTGCTTCCCAATAGTGTTTTGACTCCCAATCCTGAGGTCACTCCTTTTAAAGTCAGTCCCTCCGTGGTTTATCAGTGGTTCTGGAGGACACTCAGAGCAGCAGTACAAAATGAAAAGCTTTTGATACTGCTGATCTAGTACATGTCCTACACTTAAAATACACTGAAGACATTTTACAGTCCTGGCATGTGGATGCTGGGGAAACCCAGTGAAGGTGACTATCAGAAAGATTGTGGTCCTGTGATGCTGGCCTGGCCTCTGTAACCAAGTATTCTACTTACTACTAAGACTGCCTAAGTCTGACTAAGAAACAAGAAATGTCTGTGTGTACACACAGCAGGGCAGTTTGCTGTTGAATACTTTACATCCTTTTATTAGGTTCACTCAGCTTGGGATCTAATTAATAGAAAAAGAGCCACTGGAGTGGGTAGTAGGATGGTGGTCAAAATGTTAGTTTTGATGGAGCTAAAACTCCATTAGGGAACATGGCTTAAGAGTGAGGTGAAATAGACCTGGGGAGAGAAGGGAGTAAAAACCACAGTGACAATCTCCTCCAGCTAGGACAGTGTCATCCAGCCTGACACCTGACCCTAGGGGAAGAGTGAACTCGGGGTGGGATGAGAACCTTGGAGCTTATATTTAAAATAACTCCTCTGCACAAATACGTAACTCATCTCTTAGTCTGCTCCCTCCACCAGCTGCTCGAGACTAGTGTTATTTTATGTGGTTGCTATTGTTGTTAACTATGTAATCAACATGCATATCATTTGTTTTTTCTGTCTAGGTCCTTTTGTACGATCCTCTCTTTGACTGGACTATGAATCCTTTAAAAGCTTTGTATTTGCAGCAGAGGCCAGAAGATGAGACTGACCTCCATTCTACCCCCAATGCGGAAGATCAAGAATGCAAACGAAGTCTTAGGTGGGAGATTTTTAGGAGGAGGGACCTATTGTTAGTTACTTAGATTTTGTTATTCCCAAGCCCTTAACTGTTGTGCCTCATTGATTTCTTCATGTTTTTTATCCTTAGTGATATTGACCAGAGTTTCAACAAAGTAGCTGAACGTGTCTTGATGAGGCTGCAGGAGAAACTGAAAGGCGTGGAAGAAGGCACTGTGCTCAGTGTGGGTGGACAGGTGAACTTGCTTATCCAGCAGGCCATGGATCCCAAAAATCTCAGCCGACTCTTCCCAGGATGGAAAGCTTGGGTGTGACCTTCAGCTCAGGAATTACTCTAAACTCAAGACTTCAGAAATTACATCTCAGCCGCCCTATTTGGATGGGAATTAGTTAATAACTGCTTTTGAACCAGTTTTCTCCTTGATACATAACCAGCCAAAAATTAATATTTCTGCTCTTGTATGTTAGGATGAATGTTGACTCTTAAGATCATGCTTGTATTGTTTTCAGTGGGATCACTGAGGTGCACAGTGACCTGAAGCCAGTGGGAGCAGCAGAGTGAGTTTTGCTTTGGTGTGTGTTAGGATGAGTTTGTAACTCTTGCTCTAAGCAGTCTTTAGTTAAAGCAGGTTCCCAGACCGTCACTGTGAGCGTGTGCGTGCGAATTCCAAAGTACTTAGTAATGCTGTAGAACGGGTAGATGTTAAAATTATAACTGTCACTATATCATGGGAAACTCACATTAAAATAAATGTTGGACTGGAGTGTAGCTCAGTATAGAACAAGTGCCCAAACTGTCTGAGGCCCCAAGTTCAAAACCAGAATTGCAGATTAAAGGGGTGGCGGGGAATGGAGTAAATCGTGTTGAAAACAAAGTAGTAAAGGTTGAACACAGAACACACTTAGTTTCAAAGTCCAAAACATGAGATGTTCCAGTATCCAAAGCTTTCTGACATATTGAGCACATTTCCGAGGTTCAGATTAGGTGCATAGCTAGTCTTAGCTTACAGTCATCACAAATGCTTTACAGTCTGAAAATATCCAAAACCAGAGGCAGCTCTGGTCCTCGGCATTTTTAGGAGGGGACACTGAATAAACCTGCACTTAAGAAATGGTCTGCTTTCAAGCCAGGCGTGGCGGGACCGTCAGAGCTACACAGAGAATCCCTGTCCCTAAAACCAAAGCAGAAGAAATGTTCTGATTCAGGTGCAGGATCACTCAGTGTTCCCAAGTGATGAGGTCTGGAGAGGAAGAGCTGGGTGTTTGTATTGTTGATTCTTGAGTTTGGTGGCCTAGTTTGTGATCTTGAAAGGTGAGCTCATTTTCAGCCCCCTTCTCACACATGTGTGTGTGTGTGACTCCTGCGTGGGCTAGGCTGAGTGATTCTTCAAGAGAGTTTGCTCACGTCTCATCCCCAGGGGCTTCACAGACATTCCTCGGCTCCAGGCTCTAGGTCTCAGGAATAGTGTAGATTTCTGAGAGCAGAAGAGTCTCCCAGGCCATGACAGACCTACTCTATCATCTCTGTGCAAATAGGCAGAGTGTTGTACTGATACCCCTTTCAGTGAAAGCTAAGCCTGCATGTGTCTCATCAAGGTGGCAGGGTGAAGGGAGGTGCATCTAACGTCTCTCACTTGCTGCTAAGATTCTTTAGTCCATACACACACACACACATACTCACACACATGTATATATACATCGATACACATATGGATGTTTGCATTATTGTGTATATATATACACACATACACAAAGCCAAACTCTTGGTTTCTGCAAACTATTATGAAAATTATTTTGCATTTTAACTTTCCTGCTTTGTGTCTTTTGTCAGAATTTGGATATTATAAATATTTGGTATCTACTTACTGTAGTAGTCAAGAGGATGTGTTGAACTTAGAAGGTCTTTAAGAAAGTGTTGACCTCCTCATAGATAGAGAATGATATTAGCTAATAATGGCTAGTTAAATGAATTTGTAATGTTTCTGCAGTTAAATCACTGAAGAGGTTGGAATAATAATTGATCTGTTCTTCACCCTTGAATTATATGCCACAAACATATTTTATCGATGACTTTGAAAAGTTTATATTAGGTTTTCAGGTAAACCTAGAAGCAGCTAATTGAAATATAAAAAGATTAAGTTAGAAAATATTTTTGACAAACTTGAGTAAGATGGGCAGTTACCAGGAGCCAATGCGGTGAGATTTACAGGTATTAAAAATCAGGTATTTCCTTTATGTCAAGTACCTGACATGTCTATCAGCAGCATGTTTGGTTCCTACAACAAAAACTTGTAATATTGGATGGTTTTCTTTTTTTATGCTTTGAAAACAAATTTTTTTTACTGTATTCAGTGTTTAAATCCATGACAAGTGCTTCACCTATACACATAAAATTACTAAATTGTTTTATCAGATCCCTTTTAATATACAATATATACACCTATAGAAAAAGGAAGTAGGAAAATATTAATAGATAAAATTATAGCATGTAGACAGAGTACTTCTGCATTCCAGCCTTGTTTGAGCGACAGGTAAAGATACTTGTTACAAGTCATAATGCCGCCATATCTGCTAGGAAAAGACCGCGGCATCTCTGAGTCACCTGGGAAAAGCCATGTTCCTGTTTTGCTTTTGGAAATAATTATTCGTAGGTTTATATTAAGTATATCCTTAAGCCTTTCATCACTTTAGAAACCTATAAAATTAGCAAACTAAGCTACATTTTAGTAAATCTTTTGATCCCAGAAAGCAAAACTGGGCAACAGACCTATATACTAAGTACACAGTTGAAATCTTTGGGCGAGAGCCAACAAGAAGGTTAATGGATGAGTAGCTCTCCCAGTCCAGTCCTATCAAACTGTGGATCTCAGCGGGCGGATGATTGCCCAGCTGCTGCTGATGTGTAAATTCTTTTCATGATGAACTTATATAAATAACGCTACGGTTAGGCTAATAATAGAAAAATACTGTTTGTAGCATACTATAATTAGAGAAAGTTACTGGTATAAAACACAGAAAAATCTATGCCTTTTACCTGTCAGGAAAAATGGCAACAACATTGATATTTATTACCTCACAATAAATTTCATTGATTGTAAGTTGAGCCACGATGATTAAAACCTTATAGCATGATTTTGCATACCATCAATTCATTAGATAATCAGCAGATATATAGCCCTTGAATTTTCCAAAACCTTCTTAGTTTTTCATGTGTAAAAGTAGGAAACCAGAGTCGAGAGCCCTCAGAAACAGAAATGTTGAAGGTACCGTATCTGTACAACTCAAAGATTCAAAATACAAGCATCACACATACGAGCAATAAATAAGTCAGACTTTCGTTCTGAATGCCTTAGCTATACACTAAGTGCCCTTTTCCTGAGAGAAGAAAATGTGCGTATAAGGCTGGGTTTATGTTTTACAACAACTCTTTAAAACATATATTTTTGATGGGCAAATTGTATTCCAAATTTTTTTTAGGTAGCCGGCATTCAAAACATTGGTATACCTTCTATTTTATGAAGAAATAATTTTAAAGTGTCAGTTGGAAATTTTTCATGCTGCTGATTAGTCATTATCTTGTTAACTGATGACATCAGGTATCCCATTTTATATCCAGAGAAAGTAAAAGTTGGAAAAGGTTACTTGTCTGAGGCCAGAAGACATTGCACACAAGTATCATATAAGCAGTCTCTTCAGTTGAAGAGCTTTTAGTAAAAAGAATCTGGCGTTCACTGGTCAGGTATAAGTCAGTGAAAAGCAAATAGAGAAGCTGCTAGAAAAGGAAGTTAGACAGCTGGTGTGTCTAGAGTGAGGGAGGCAACAGTCTCTTCCAACCCTGTGCACCCTCAGAGTGGTCCCAAATCAGGCCCCAAATGTAAGGTCGTCATAGTGTTCACTTAAAATGGGGAAAAGATTGTGCACCTAGAAATCTGTCACAAATTTAAATATGGTAAAAGGAACAAAAGCAAAAAGGAAGAACTTTGGGCACCTTAAGGTTTATAATAACCACCTTTTAAAGTAGAAGGCCAGTATGGAATAGAGAAAAGTGTCATTTCAAGTGTTTTAGTTGCACCTTAATGAAATTATATATTTTATATAGATTTGTTTAGTGTTATTAAATGTAATCTGTTACATTGTTACCTGAATGTTACAAAAAATTTTAATAAAGAATTTTACAAGTTTATGTTAACTGTACAAGTAAGTGTATGTCCATTTTATGAAATATTTGATATGTGCCCGTCACGGGGCTAGTTCCTAGGGAGACAGCAGTGAGCACAGAAGTCAGCACTCGGTTCAGAATCCAGGTAGGAGGGCTCCCCGTTCATGTTCTTGGCTGTGCCTTAGAAAATGATCTAGTTGACATTTCTCAAATCTGAAAAACTAAGTTGCACCAGGATATGACAAATGAAGATCCTGATATCCTAAATGTGATGTTTCATTTTATCATATTATTTTAAAATTCATTCTTCTTGAGAGTTTCATGTTCCTCTGTGCAGCTTCTGGAAAAATGAATTTTGTGTACAGTGTAGTCAGAGTGTCCAGAAAGACTGGGTTCAGACTTAGTTAGAATCTCATATAATGGAATTACTCCTCGGAATAAAAGCCCCCTACTTTGCTCTGACGTGGTGCGTGGTTTTGTATACAGCAGGAGTAAGAGTGTACACTTATTAGTACAGCGCTCCTTCCCCTCTGTTTGCTGATCGTCCACTGTCATCATTCACAGGTAGTTCAGTCTTTTCTGTAAGGACTTCCCTTCACCACTACCCAAGTCTTAGCGTTTCTGTTGTGGAGATCCTCATACTGTTACCTCATTTCTTCCTCGGCACCATTGTGGTTTTTATACGGTATCTCTTGTCTCTTATTATTTGGAATTTAAGGTGCTTACTCTCCATGGAAATGTTACCTATTCTTTGTAGAAACTTACGTTGGTTCTTTCAGCCCCAGTGGTTCTCAACCTTCCTAATACAGTTCTCAGCCATAGAATTGTTTTCATTGCTACTTCACAACTGTCATTTTGCTACAGTATTGAACTGTAAGGTAAATCTGTAGCTCTCAGTGGTCTCAGGTGACCCTTACGAAAGGGTCATTCAATCCCCGCCACAGGGGTCACATCCCACAGGTTGAGAACTGGTGTTTTAGGTGCTCATATCTGCTATGAATAATTATTTTTTTTTCCCTCCCAGATCTAATACTGTTTTGTTACTTTATCTTCCTCTACTCTTTCGGCCACAGCCTCTGCTTGGGCAGCGATAATGGAAGATAGAAGCCGTCATGTTTGAACAGTCCTATGGCTCATGGCCAGCGCTCAAGTGTCAGTGTTTCCCCATTTTCTGTTTCCTGAAGGGTTTTTAGTGAGGCGTCTGTGTCCCTTTTCCTGTTAAAGAAATCCCTGGACTGCTGCGAAGCTTTGGGGTTGGGTTAACAGTTACTGTACTTGCTGAAAATGACCACTTTCCGAAAGTGAGCGTGTCACTTTGGTGTTCACTCTGTTAGGTTTCCTAAGATTAAGTCAGCCATACACTTTCAGCACCTGAGAGTTGGTGGGATCTTTAGGAGGTAGGCCAGTGCAGGTAGGGGAGAGGCGGGTTATGACCTTTGAACTCATAAAGTGGAATCCTGGTGCCTCTTTGTGTTGCTGCTCCCTGCCTTAGAAATGATTAGCTTTGCAAGACAACTTGCTCCCTAGCGTGATACTGTCTCACCATAGAACCTGAAGTGAAGGAGTCTGATAAATTGTGAACCTCAGGCATTTTACCCCAACAATAGAATGCTATCATAACATACATGGGTATGTGGACATCTTTTTAGGACTCTGTCCTTAGTTTTCTGGTATAAAACCAGAAATGGTGTCCTTTTGTTTGGGGCTTTTTTTTTTTTTCACCTTTTAATTCTCACAATGTATGATTTCTTGAGATTGAAAACATATGCCATCAGGTTGTTTCTCCTCAAGAGGGCTTCCGTTGTTTGTTTTTAGGTGTATGGATGGGTTTTTGCCTGCGTTTATGTCTGTGTACCACTCACATGCTGGAAGATGGCAGTAGATTGGCTAGAACTGAAATTAGATAGTTGTGAGTCACATGTCAGTGCTGAAAATCAAACCTTGGTCTTTGGGAAAAGCAGTTGGTGCTTTCAACCACTAAGCCAATTCTCCAGCCCCGGGTGTATAGTTTCTTTATGGTAAGTCCTTACAGCCCTTTCTCTCAGGCTTTTGGAAATATACAGAATATTGTTTCTTATAGCTACCCTACTACAGAGGCACAGAACCTAAGGCATATTGATTCTGTGTGTGTGCATGTGTGTAAATTTACTGATCATGTCCGATCTTCATTCTCCTCTCTTGGGGAGGTTTCCTCCTCCCTTTTATTTCCGTGTGACACAAGAGTGCCTGTTGGTTTTGCTATGTCTGACTTTTATTTTATTTAACATGATACTCTCCAGATCCATTTTCTCCCAGATGATAGGTGACATGATTTTACTCTTTTTATGGCTAAATAGTACTCAGCTGTACATATAAACCACATTTCTTTTTCTAGAAGAGGATGATTTATTGATGAGGTATTTAAATCACTGTTAACTGTATTTGGATATGTCTGTCCCTGAGGCTACTCCAAAAAATTCAAAGCAAAACTACTGTGTGATCCAGCAGTGGTACTTCTGGTGTTTATCTAAAGGAAACCAACATATCAAAGAAATCCATGCTTCCTACATTCACTGCTTCCATCCAAAGGCACCAAACTAAAGGAGATGGAACCCTGACCACCCAGATTTGACGGGTACACGTTGTATATGCGTTGTGAAATACACTTCCCCCCTTGAAATGTGTAAATTGTTACCTGTGCATCATTTAAAAAATACTTAAGTGGACAGTTCAGGAAAAAAATAAGTGAGGGCCATTTGTACAGTGAATAAGCTCTGCCCTGAGCAACTGTGCTAAAAGCAAATTGCATTTGGAGGTTTTTTTTTTTAAACAACCTAAATATACTTTATTTTAAGTGTGATTTCAGACAACTACAGTTTACCAGAATACCAGGAAGAACTATACACTGTCCAGTGTAGTATTTCTGAAGTCCTCCTTAATAGGAGCAAACATATACATAAGTCATTACAGTCGAAATATCCAGTCTCCTGGCTTTAACTGAAAAATGGGCTTGAAGGGCCATTGCTCAGAAAAGGAAGTCCTTTATGGTTTCATTCCAAACATGGAATTGGGTGTTAAGCTAGTGAACTGTGGCCTTACGTAAGTATTTTCATAGTAATTATCCTCATATGGCCCTTCCGTTGGTGCCTCTGACTCATCATAGTTATACAGGTTTTTCTGGATTTGTTGAAGCCTCACATCTGAAAAGAAATGACAGATGGTTACAACAGTGTCCTGTCTGTAAGTCCTTCCCGTCACACTTTGAACACATGTCCTTATTGCTGTTTAACAGAAATTCTCAATGCCCCCATCTCTACTCATTCTATTTTAACCACTGTTCCTCTCTACACAGGTCTCTGTATGACCCAAGTTCTAGGTGTGACCTACCCAAAAATACCTCTGTAATTTGGGGCAGTCGTTGATGTTCTGTAAGTCCAAGTCTTCATCTGTAAAATTTAAGATTGTGGTAGCACCTGCTGCATGGTGTATATACCCCCATGGGAGTCAGAGGATGTTGTGAGGTATCCTCACGCTGCCCTAAAATCTCACTGAACATGGAGCCTCTCGGATCCACGTGTGTCCACTCCCTCATGCTATGGTTACAGGCACCCACAGGCTGTGCCTGGCCTTTCTTGTGCCAGGGTCTTTAAACTTGCACAGTCAAGTGGTCTTCTCCACTAAGCCATTCCCAGAACCTGCCTGGATTTGTGATAACTAAATGAGATGGTCCATTGTGTTTGGAATGAGTGCTTTGTAATTAGCTAGAGCCGTTTCTTCACTCCCAAATGAACTATCTTGTCTGTTTATGAATCTGCTCTGGATACCTGCCCCATCCAGCCCCTGTGTACACACATGCACACCCTGTCTCTTTGCTTTGTTTTGTTTCTGAGACAGGTCTTTGTATTATGTCACCCTGGCTATCCTGGGAACTTAATATGTTGATCAGGCTGGCCTTGAACTAGAGATATGCCTGCCTACCTCAAGTGTCTGGCTTTCTCTAGCTTCTTAAAAGGTAGCATACATATTCTCCGGGTGCCACCATCTTTCCACAGTATTTAAGGTAGCTTTCCCTTACCCTTATCAATATGATAATTGGAAGGAGCATATTTTTACCATAACCTTTTAGAACTTATTATTATAAACAATTATTTAGAAATTGTTTCCTTTTTTGTATCTGTCATGTATATTCTTTATCAGTAAATCACTTAAGTGTGTACTTCTTGTGATTTCTATAGCAATGCTTTAATCTCCTTGCCCTTTATTATAAAGACAGTTACCAAAATTGTTCTGTAGAAGGCCATTGTAATGGTTCGACTTGGTTGTCAACTTTACTCTGTCTGGAATCAGCTATCCCATGAGGAATTTGCTTTACTGGGTTAATTGAAGTACGAAGGCCCACCCACAATATGGGTGGCACCTTTTGGTGGCAGCCCAAAATAAGAGAAGGTGGAAAGGAAAGGCTTGCTTTGCCTGCTTGCTTTCATTATAATGGCAAGTTCGTCTATGCTGTTGCTGCATTCTTTCTCTGAGAGCAGAATCAGCTTCTTCAGGTTTCTGATGTGTCCTTAAGGTCAGCAGCTCTCCAGGGACCCATCCAGCTTCCAGTGCTGATGTTGCACCCAGCCCCCATGGAATGAGCAGCCGCGGGATTCTCAGACTGTCCCGAGGGAGCCGTTGCTGGACTATACAGATTACACCGTATAAGACAGTCTAACAGATCAGCACTGATTCCATTAATCCCCAATGTAAAAACTGCTTGGTGTGTTTGAGGAACAGGCATGGGTCTGAAAACGAAGAGTAGAAGTGAAATGCGGGACATGTTCGTGTAGGTACAGCCAGAGGCCATGGTTTATATGTGGAAAGCGTGTATTTGAGGCAGCAGACTATGACAGTGTTTCAGCTGTGAAGTCTTAACCTGCTTTAGTTCAAATCCTAGCACAGACTGGCTTTGAGCAAGTCATATCGTCTCTCCTCCCTCAGAAAATGCAGATAATAGAACCTGTTTCATATGTTTGTTTGAAAGATCAAGTTAAATTCATTCTCCA